CCAAGTTCGTGATTAGCCGAAGCCTTGAGGCCACATCATCAATTTGTGCCTGCATCCGGTCACCAAACTGATCGATTTTCATTTCCAAGTGGGCAAGGTAATTCACAAGCTGAGCCAAGGAAATTTCCTGTTCTTCCCCTTCAGTTTTAACAACAGTTTGTCTAATCTCTTGAACTTTCTGTTCTTGCTGTTCAATCTTTTTCTTTCTGAATTCTTCTTTCCTCTTCTTCTCCTTCTCTAGTGCTTCTTCAAGTTGTCTGATGTTTTCATCCACGGTTTCTTCAGACACCTCCTTTTCTCTTTCTTCTTTCTGTTCAGCACGCTTGGAGAGCTGAATGACGTCGGTGCCTGTCACTGCCGATTCAATAGCATTATGTAATGCTCTTAAATCGAACAGGCTCCTGACATGGGCCTCAGCCTCAACACCCGCGTCATGAAGTTCAGAAATCAATCTGTCCAGACGGGCAATCAAGACTCGTTTTCGCTCTTCACTTGCTGCTTCGTTCGGGGTTCAGGAGTCTCCTCATCCACAGCAAACATGAGTGAGACTGGGTAGAAAGAAGTGGGATGAAACGTGTGAGCACCAACAGTTTCAGAGAATTCCAGAGGAAAGACATCGTGACGTGCGTCTGCCGCACAATAAATACTTAATTAATGGTAATAAATTCCACGGCCGCACTGATCTATCACAGCAAGATTTCAAAGAACCGAAGAAAAAGAATCAGATACAATTATTCCTATTTTCTAACTATTGTTGTTCTTTGTCTGTCCGTGTGATGACGTCCTAAGAGTGTACAGGTATCGCGTCAGGCCCTTGTGATCAGACACAACACACAAGTAAGTACGCAAACACCACACACAGCAACAACAGGTAAGTATGCCAACAATAATCACAAACAGTTTGTCAGCAACCTTCGTCAATCTGCTTTGTCTTCTTGATGTCAGTGCGATCACGCACTCCCCCTGACAGCTGGCACTACAGCTGTGTAGTCTGTCCAGTCAGCTGTACCGCCGTCGTCTTTAGAGTGCACCTCTTACTCGGCAGTATCCTGCCTGCCACGTGTCACCCCTGGAGTGCCAACATAGCAATGTTGCCACGTCAGCACTCTGTCCAGTCCAGTCCATCAATAACGGGATGCCACGTCAACAAATGTGTAGTCCGATCCTCGCCACGTGCCTCTTCCAAACGTCACGTGAGATACCGTCGCCGTTCGAGCCAGTCAGATTATGCCACGTCAGCCAAGGAGTCCAATGCCACGTCAGCAGGCGGACACCACCTCATGAGACAAGTGTGATGACCTGCTCGTACCACGTCAGCAATTAATCTTTCCTCCAGGCCACGTCAGCATCTGTAGTAGACCCTGTTGTGTCAGCAGTACAAGGAGTGCCACATCAGCAATCAACAGGGTCTTCAGACGCAGCACGATGTATGCCACGTCAGCAGGAGATCGCGATGCCACGTCACTATCGCGATCCTGGCTGGCGTGCGGTATCCCTTGTTGCGATCCCTACTGCCACGTCAGCAGCCTGGTAGGGATGTCTTCTCGCCAGCAGAGCCTGTACTTCGTCCGCTGCTCCGGTCAGGTCTTCTCGCCAGTGAATCTGTACTTCGTCAGCAGTCTCCGGCGATGTCTTCTCACCAAAGAGGTATGTGCCACGTCAATATCCCCAGCGTATCCCTTGCTACGTCATCACCTACTCAACCTTACTTACCTGTGCGCCACCTGGCGCCTACTCATATACAAATGTCGTCGTCAGGAGATTAGCTCCGATACCAAATTGTAATGAACCCAGATCGTGAGACAGTTGTCAATGCAAGTCCAGATAAATGTCTATCGGCTGATGATTACTCATAGTCCAAATCGTAACCAGACAGAATGAGGTGAGGTAATCATACACAGTCGAAGAGAGGGGAGGGAGAAGAGACAAAGGAGAGGAAGTATAATGCCCACTCCTGCTTCGGGCTCCCTCCTCCACTGCCACCTCAACAATCAATAGTCTGAACGAGTATCCAAGTATCCTCAATGTGCCACATGGCACGTCTAATCAGTTCCACATCAGCATCTGGAGCAATGTCGACATGAAGACCATCAGGTACGTATCCTTGAACTCTCCACAGTCCTGATCTCCTCCTGAAGTGGCGACGAACAGAACAGCAATGCCGAATATGTAGTCCCAGTCACAAAACACATGGGCAGCAGCCACGTCAGCATGACACACGTAGCAGCAGCCACGTCAGCGATAGCACACGGCAGCTGCCACATCAGCATGCCAAGAAGACAGGAGCAAGCCGGCCACCATGCCAGACAAGCAGCGCCTCGCCAAGTCACAATGCCAGCGTCGCAGCGTTGAGCCAGCGTTGAAGTCAATGCGTGAAGTCAGCATCAACGCAAGACAGAATGAATGTCAAAGCCAGGAAGTCAACTCTTATGTAGTGTTGACGCGGGGTCTGGACCCCGGATGCTGTATCCCTCGGCCGTCCAGATCTCAATGTGAATGAGGGCTCAGATCGGCCTGAAACCGAATTCCCTCCGGCCTGGATGCTGTCTGGGTACCTGCGCACAACAAGTGAGTGTATCCAACCCAGGGCCTGGGTGNCAGATCGGCCTGAAACCGAATTCCCTCCGGCCTGGATGCTGTCTGGGTACCTGCGCACAACAAGTGAGTGTATCCAACCCAGGGCCTGGGTGCGGCACCTTCGACTCTACAGTTGACTTTGACTCTTGAATTTCCTGTGTGCAGCGTTCGGTCACACAGCCACACTCGACAGACTCAGGCCTGGGTGTGTCTTGGTCACACAGCCCAGCGCAGACCTTCTCAGGTCTGTGTGGCCTGGGGCTGAGTTCTGGGCCCCAGGCTACTTCTGAACAGGGTTATTACAGTTTGACAAACTCGGCCTTTTCTTGACCAGGGCATCTGACCCTGAGATCCAAATTTGGGATTCTGAATCGTGGAAGGTCTTTCATCATATCATGTAGGATCATTTGGGCCATGCATTGGGCTGTGTATTTATTTGGGCTTAGGAGGGGGTTAATTCTTTGTCTCGAAGACCTAAAGTCTAAAACTGTAGCGCATTGGTGCTTGTTTGACCCACCTACATATCGCCACTTTTTCAGCTCAGATATTGAGACTGTGTTGGAGGTTTCTTACACACTCATTTCAATAACATCAATACCCCTTCCTCATGCGGCAGGAGCCATGCTGGCTCTTCTTGTCCTGCTTAAACCACAAGTACCTACCGGTTGTTAAGGCCCGTGGCTCAGCCTACCGGTATCCCACACCTTGCCGAGCCTCGAGTTACCGGTAGGTACACATGAAAACAAAACAAAAAAAAAAGAAAAAAAAAAAGCCAATTCTTCTGCCCAAAAAAAAAAGAAATTGAAAAACAAAGAAGCCCGAGAGAGAGAGAGAGAGAGAGAGAGAGAGAGAGAGAGAGAGAGAGAGAGA